AGGTATGCCCCTCAGAAAACTGGTTCAGGTATCTGGTTTAGGGAATTTCTAAAATGTTGCTGGTTTACATGGAACTGAGAGAGTATTTCTCTAGAAAATAAAGATCTCCATCTGTTGATCAAGTAGTGAGAAAGGTTCTCCAGGAGGGAAATAAGTTGATGTTCATCAAATCCTTGCTGCTTTCACATATAGCTTATAACTAACTTTCTGGCAAAAGTATTTACTGAGGGCCATTAGATTAAGGGGGCGGGTGGATGGATGAAGCCAGCTCTAGGTGAAAATATAATAAATATGATTTCATTGAGTATGATTTCCTTGTTTTACAAGAATTATTTAATTTTTAACATAATGTTACATGGTTTTATTCTGCTCATTTTACAAGTTAGGAAACTGAGCCACAGAGACGTTAAGTAGAGGATTGCTCTGGCCTTGACTTGACTTGTCCATCCTGGAGCCACACGGGGATGGCCTGCCTTGGGAAGGGTGCAATGGAATGTGTGTCTTTGGAGCCTTCCCTCCCTGGTTCTCAGCACTTGGAAGGGTGGTCCTGCCTGTGCCTGATCCTGCTATCTTACTCATCTTTCCTACTAGCTGAGGATTATTCCAGCTGTACTGAGTGTGTGTTGTTGGAGATCGCTTAAGTAGTACCTGGTCACCTTCCAAGAGAATGTTGAGTCTGCAAGTGGCAGCAGGTGACGAGCTCTGAGCAGCAGAGATACTGAGAACTTACCAAGCTGCAGTCTCCACAGAAAAGATAAATAACATGGTGGTTAGGAGTTATGAAGAACATCTAAGCAGTATAATCAAATCCTAACCTAAATGGTAATAGAGGTTGAGATTTGAATTTGTGGAAATACTGGAAATTTGATAAAGAAAATCCTTGAAGTGGTCTTTTAATGTGTGACATGCAATAATTTGGAGAGCAGAAGACTGTTCCTTGGCTTTCTTTCAGAATAAACTCCCCTGCCACCCAGCCCTGATGCAGACACGAAGAGACCAGTAGTGACAGATGCTTTTTCCAAAATACGTTAAAGGAGTAGCAGCTCTGTTAAAGGTGTTTTCTTTCTTAATATTTCACTTTGATTTTCATCTTCCTGTCTCTCTCTTACTCCCATCTATTCTCATCTCACTGATTGGCATCCTTATACTTACATATGCAGGTGGGAGACTACCTCATTACCCCTTTTCAGTGTTCAAAGAGCTTTTGACTTCCATCCTCTGGCAAAACGATGGTGCCTTAATATTCCCCGACTCTCACTCCAGTTGAAGTCTCTACTCTAATTTGGTTGATCTGAGCTTTCTTATCCACTTGCCCCAGTCCCCATACCATTTCCTGTCCTTTTCATCTGCCTTTCCTTTGTAGATCATAAATCTATCCTCACCAGTTGCTTCAAAGCTATCTTTGCTTTGGAGTTCCATCATTTTGCAGCTTTTCTGGATGCGGCTTTCATTTTCTTTATCCTCCTTGGGTTCATTGCAATTCCTGAACCTGAAAATTCATGTCTTCCATCAAGTCTAAAAAATTATTTTCCTATACTGTCCTTCTGGTTTTTTTTTGTTGTTGTTGGAACTTCTAATTCTTTCCTCCCTGTCTTTTAACACCTTTTTTCTGTTTTCTCTGTTTAACTCTTGGTACTGCATCTGAATACTTTTCTGAAGTCTGGGTTTTTTAATCTCTTTGCAGTTTATTGTTTGTTCAGTGGGGCCTGTCTAATCTGTATTAATGTATCCTATGAGTTTTTTATTTCAGCTTATCTATTTTTTAACAGTCATTGAAAGAATAATTCTATTAACTTTGAAGTTTTATGTGGTTCTTGTAAAATCTGACTGTAAAATTTTAAAATTCTTTTATCATGTTTTCGGTGTCCACTTTTCTATCACTAGTCTTTGTAAACATTTTAACTTTAGAATGTTTAAACTGGATCTATCTATTAGTTCTGGTACCTGGAATTCTTGGTAGTGGTAGAGGGGTGGGATGGGATGTTCCTCATCCCTGTGTCTACTGATCCTTGTTCATGGCAGACAGTTTGAGTGTTTTGTAGTTTTGGATTGTGAGTTTTTCTTCAGAGTTGTTTTGTTTTTGTTTTTGTTTTTAGTGGAGAACCAGTACAGGCTGAGGTTGAGTTTCTGTCCCTCCAGAGAGATTCTGTGTATACTTTGGTCGGGGGTCCCAGGATTATCATTGGCGTGGGCCACTTTTTAGCTTCTCATTGAGAGGGACAGGCCATCCCATAGTGGCTTTATCTGAGCTTCAAATCTACATGAAGCGGGCCTATGGCTATCAGTTCTCAGCAAGGCTTCCTTTCCCATCCCCACAGAGATTCAGGCTGAGATGGATAAGCTTCTTAATGGTCTCCTTGTGCACTTGGAGCATTCTCTCCCCCTCATCCACTTTTCACAGAGGACTGGTCAAGTTCCAGTTTTATGTGGGAGTCGTAGTTCCTATTCTCTCACTCATACTTCATGAAGGCCCTGGGGTTTCTCCTCCTGAACCACATGGATTTACAATCCAAATCCTGTGTTTCCCAGACTGGCGAACTGCTCTCCTCTTGAGGCTGCTAGCATCAGTTCAGAGGCTTGGTTCCGGTTTTCCAGTCCCTGTGTGTTTGACCCTAGAAAATTAATTTTCTTGAGAACTCAGCTATGCATTTTAAAAGATATTTATTATATTTTACCTAGGATTTGTAAGCTTTTAATAGCAAGAGATTCTTTAAAAAGAGGTCTGTTCTGCCAAGAGCACAGCATCATTATCCTCTGACTGTGTCTGCTGGAGGGTCAGAGATGCCTGCCTACATCCAAAGAGCAGTGTGGGAAAGGGGCCCCTGCCCTTAAGACGTTCATAGATTTTTTTTTTTTTTTTTTTTTTGGTCTAACTCATTTCATAGACTCTAAGGACTATTCATTTATTTTTCACTCTATCACCTTAACATTCAAATCACATTCAATATTTAGTAAATTCTCACTCTCCAGGCTTTCATTCATTAATTCAGCCAACATATTTTGTATACAGTATTGCTACATGCCAGATATGTGCTCGTTGTGCTCAGCAAAAACATACCTGATCCCTGTCTACATAAATAAAAGTGAAATTGTAAATGGAACAAGTGCCCGAAAGTAAATGTGCATGGTGCTGTGAGATGTGTTGATGTGTTCAACTCAGGCCAGGAAGGGGAAATGAAATAAACAAGAATAGCTTTCATTGAATGAAAAGGGGAGTGGTAATTCTGCCAGATGCAGAGCAGTATGTGCAAAGGCCCTGGGGTGAAGATGAAGGACTAAAAAAAGGGTGGTGAGATGAAAGAGAAGTGAGAAGAATATGGTTCCAGAAAAGGTTGAGAGGGAGCTAGGAGTCAACCCATGAAGAACTTGTGGGCTATGTTAAGGACTTTTTCTGCTTATCATAAGTGCCATTGAAGGGTTTTACACAGGGGGTTGACACATGTTATTTGGCCTTTGAAAAAAGTCTTTCTCACTTTAGAGAAGAGAACAGATTTGAGGGAGCAAGAAATGACAAGACTATTGTTAGTAGGCCAGACTGAGAGTTGCTGGTAGCTCAACTTCAATTTTGGCTTCGTAGAGATGAAGGTATGGACAGATTTGAGATTTACTTAGCAAATAAAATTATGGGGAAGAAGGTGAGAGAGATGGGCCAGGAACAATTCCACAGTTTCTGGCTTATATAACGAGATGGCTAGTGATATCTCTTTAGGAAATTGGGACCACTGGATAAGGACATGGTTTGGTGGAAGGCCATGGCTTTTTCTTTTATACAGATTGGGTCTGAGGTTTTTAAAACATCTAAAAGGAAAATATCAAAAAACAGTTGGATACATGGATCCAGAGCCAGAGAAGAGATCTAGGGATATAAATACATCAGGATTTGATTTTAGGTATTTATCAGATGAGCTTTCCAATGGAGAGATGATAGATACCCCTGGATACAGAGACATGCAGGTTACTAGTGACCTTAATGAGAGCTGTTTGGGTGGTAAGATGGGGGGTGAGAAGCTTGGAGTAGGATGCAGAAGGAAGTAGGATGGATAGCATGTAGAAGATGAGGAAATGGGATAAGTGAGTGTAGACAACTTTCAGGAACTTTGCCAGTGAAGTTATATAAGTTATATAAGGCTTGCATTCATTTTTTAAGGGAAATATGTCACTTAATCATGATTGGAAGGTAAAATCTTTTAAAACAGAGACTCAATAGAAAAAAAAAAAAAATTGAAGTAGTTTCTTGATAGTGAAAAGGTGACCGAAACCTACATTGGCACAGTGGGGAACCAAAGACACTTAACCAGTACTGAAGTGTATTTATTCAGCTCTCACTGTTGTTCCAGATGTCATTCTAAATGCTTGACATGTGTTGACTAAATCTCCATAACAACAATGTGAGGTAGGTATATAATAGCCCATGCAGGACACAAGGAAACCAGTCACAGAGAGGTGCTGTATCTTGCCAGGGTAGGACAACAGAGATTTGAACCCAGACAGTCTGGCTGCAGAGATCATGTTCTTAACCAACCACTTTGCCATCCCCCTTCTCAGTACATGGGCGCATAATAAGGTATTTGTATCATCTATGAGCTAAGGTATGGGCTAATCCATCTGAATATTGAAAATGTTATTGGTTGTATGACTTTGGGGCAAAAGTATCAACTAGTGTTCACTTAAATGCTTTGTTAAAACTTTCTTGGTTTTATGTTCTAGAACAAGGCAGGCATAAATGGAAATGTCATTAGATCGGCTTTAGCTCTAATCAGTGACTTTAATAAATGTTTGTACATTATTCATTTAATTGCACCTGTATCTGTGTGGTGTCCTCACAGCTGAGGGTATAATAGTAAGTAAGCAGAATTCTCAACGGTCTGAAACCCTGCGTACCTCTCTCCCAAGGTGTGTATTTGTAAGTGTCCGTTAACCCAGGTCCTAAAATAAGTGATCTTTTCCAGATTTCTGGGGATTGGCTTTAACTACATGTGTGTGTTTATTCTCCTCCCAAGGATTTAACAACACTGAGAGGACGTGCGACAAAGAATTTATTATTCGGAGAACAGCCACCAATCGAGTCCTGAATGTCCTCCGTCACTGGGTCTCAAAGCATGCACAGGTAATTCAGTGGTATCATTGATTACTTTCAAGGGTTTTTTGGGTTTTTTAAAAACCAACTTTTTAAGTCGTGACATTTATAAAATGCCTTCTGAGTCTATGGAGTTAGGGTCTGAAACTTTGGAATTAGAACAGAAAGGGAATGGGGCGCCTGGAGGCTCAGTGGGTTGAAGCCTCTGCCTTGGGCTGGGGTCATGATCTCGGGGTCCTGGGATGGAGCCCTGCATGGGGCTCTCTGCTCAGCGGGGAGCCTGCTTCCCTTTCTCTCTCTCTGCTTGCCTTTCTGCTACTTGTGATCTCTGTCTGTCAAATAAATAAATACAAATCTTAAAAAAAAAAAGAAAGAAAGAAAGAAAGGGAAGAACTAGGATAGACATACAGATCAAAGCAGACACACGGGTATTGGCCAAATATCCAGGATCCAGCAGGACACAGGAGGGGAAGCCCGGCTTCCCTCTTTCCTCATCTTTTGAGGCAAGGGCACCTACCTGGGGGCACTAAAGCCACTGTATTGTGCCTCCCAGGGAGCCATTCATGGGCCCTCAAGGTAGCTGCGACTGGGCCCCTGGGGGTCAGCAGCCGCTCCTCCCCTGAGGTAAAAGCAGATGCCCTGGAGATGAGCAATACTCTGGGCCCACACACTCTGGTGTCTGGTTGGGGACTATTTTCTCAGGCGGATTTAGGAGACATTTTGCCTCGTGCCTTTGATGTTCTGGTTCCTAGTACTCTGTTTTGAAATTACTTCATGCTGACAGGAGACCTACTTGTCATTTCTTTGTGTGTTTTCAGTACACGTTCGTATAACGTATACCCACATCACAGTTTCAGAAAATAAGGTAAAGGCCTCCTTTGCTTCATGGGCTGGAGACACACATCGAGCTTTGGTTACCCGCTGCCGAGCAATGGGCAGGCCCTGGCAGACGCGTGGCTGCCTGGCACTGTGCCAGGAGAGTTTTGAAGAGAGGGAAGGGGGCCCCCGAGTGGCTCAGATCAGAACACATTAAACATATAAAATGTTTGAAGAAACAGAGAAAAGAGGAGCTCCCAGGTCTCCCTTCAGTATATTCCCAGAGGCTGTCATGGGTTTGCCATGTGGCCCTTGGAGACCACAGTCCATGAGATGGGGTCAGGAGAGAGCCAGGCACCTGCAATCCCTGTGGGAGGAGAATTCACTAATTGGGAAAAGTGGGATTTGGACCTTGCCATCAGTTAGCCCATGACAATTCTTAAGTGTTAATTAAAGTTAAAATGAAGGTAGCATGTTAAATATGGGATCTAAAAATTTTATCTTATGCATCTCAAGTAAGTAAAAATGGATCCCTTATGACTCAAATTCTGAGGACCATCCTGAGCCCACTGAAAATGTCTAGTCTCTCCTCCTCATCGTCTGAGGGAGCTGCTTGTAAGTCCTGTCTGGCTCACTGCAGATATGTGGTAATGAAGTCTACCCCGTATCTGACCAGCCATCCCATTCCTCTCTGGTTTTAGACTCCAGGGTCCTGAGTTCTGATTCAAGGGGCCCGTAGATGCTTCAAAAAGGTGGCACAAGCCTCTAGGGCACAAGGCTTCACAGAGTCCCCTCCGTTGTCTTCCCAGCTGCAAGCCAAAGCCCAGGCTGACCTGGGGCTCAGCTCCCTGCTGTCTGCAAATCTTCTCTCCGACACCTCTAATCTGGCTTCCCTGCCAGCCTCACCTCCTCTCTGTCAATCCCCAGTGCCCTCTTTTTCTAACGATCTGAAACCAGAATCCCTCACAATTCACACAGAACTCTTATAGTAACTAGAAAAGAGTCGCAAAGCAATTTTCAATATGTGGGGCTCACTCTACTTTGGGTGAAGAGAACTCAGAGATGGGGAGATGGCTGGACTGAATCCCTTGCTTCTAGGATAAAGAGCTTTACAGGAAGGTGTTATCATCTGGCTTGACCTTGGCTGTGTTGTACTTGCACAAATACGTATGTGTCTATGGGTAGTATTAGATTGAATAGCACCAAGTCACTGGGATAGAAAGTGGTTTGATAGGGAAGCACGGGTCTCTTTATTCAGATTGCGTCCTGAGGCATTTAGTTGTAATCCACAAAGCACCCTAAATGTTAGCCGGACAGTTCGGATACTTTGTAGCCTGTTACTTAGGGCGTGCTTCTATGTGGGGAAGCACTTGGTCATCAGTTCCATTTAGGGAGCCCACACTGGGACCCCAGCTTCTCAGACCCTCTTGACATGGGAGTCATGTGTGGATGGTACACAGTGCTCAAATATCCAGTCTTTTGTCCTGACATGATTATTGTATAAAACGTAGACCCTGATGTGCCAGAGGAAGGTCTTACCACTCCCACCTTTGTCTTTTCTTCCCTTCCCTGAATGTGTGAGTGTATTTTAAGGATCTGTGGTTGGTTTCCAATTGTCCCATTGTAACCTCATCGTGTGCACATCCTGTCTCCTTCCTCATTTGGGTGAGTTCTCCATCACCTGATGTGGCCTAAGCCAGTGGGGGTGTGGGTGTGGCCCCAGGCTTGACGGACCCCAGACAAGCAGACCTGCCATGGTACTTAAAGAAAGAAAGAACTCTGTTAGTTAACCCTCACTGTTGCTGTCTTTGGTTTTCACCTCACAAACTGAAGGGCTTGGACAATAGGATTTTTCATTATCTGATTCACTCACTCACTTGCTGGTTGAGTCCCAGACTGTGGCATTATTGTGGCAACCTGATTATTTTTAATTAATAACTTTCCCAAAAAAATGAGTAGGAAGTTGGAATCTTTTAAAAAAAATACAGCCAAACATGGCAAATTGCATTACTGCTCACATGGTAGACCAACCAGAGAAATCACTTCTGTTTATTGAAAACAGAAAAACCTTAGGGAAGTGACAAGATGTAGCTTTGTCCCCAGATAATCTGGAGAATTGAATCTACTACACAATATTAAGTATCATGTATCTATTTCTCATTTCTCACCAAAGGTGACTAATATGGGTAGGTAGGACCCTGAACTTAATTCAGAGAAATAGAGTGGCAGAATTATGAGTGTTGGTTCTCCAGAGAAATAAAATTTCCCTAGGATGTCACCCTCAACTCCTTCCCCACAGTGTGCTAGAATGCCATTCTGGAACTTTAAGTTTTCCTTTAGTAAGTCTTTCCTTTGGTAAGACTAGGATGCTTTTTTTTTTTTTTTTTCCTGATTCCAAAAATTTTCATCTGTTATACATTCTGCCCTAGTTTCTCTTCATTTTGTTATGCCTTTTCACTCATTTATTGCCTCTCATGTTGAAAGGAAGCCACAAGGCCTGGCTGGGTTCCTCCCATATGCCTTGTCTATGGGTTAGTGGAAGCAGGAGCCCAGAGTCAGGATACACGTGTTCTTCTTCCAACTCTGCCACTGTATCTTCTGTGGGGCCCGATTCTATCCCTCGGCCTCACTGGGGTTGAATATTCTCTTCTGAGAATGAGAACAACTGTCCATCTCTTGCCTCCCCCAAGGATGTAGTGAGGGTTAAAGGCAACATTGATTCAAGAAGCATGAAAGACATAAAGTCCACCGTAGGTGGGTGTGACCAGATCCCTTCTAGCTAAGGACAGGAGATGAACATTTCATCCCAGGACAAGGAGCCCTTAGTTCCCTGCAGACCCAGCTTGTCTCCTTCATCTTTGTGTATGCTTCCTCAGGACTCTGCCATGCTGGGCACCTGGGAGATGCCCAGGAAGAATTCTCAAAGTCAGTTTATGCATTCTCTCCAGGAGGTCATCTGCAAGCATTTATAGTTCCCGAAGTCAGCCAAGACAGAGACTAAAGCCACCAAGGGACCAGAAATCAGGGCTGTGTGTGTAGAAAATCTGAGAGAAAGAAGTGTTCTCATTAGGTGTCTGCACACTTCTCAAGTGTTTCCTGCTAGGAGGCCTCATGTGTCATTTGCACAATTCCAAGCTGTCTGCAGGTTTCAGGGCCACGGTGCTTTTAACCATGTGCTCCCGGGCTGCTTTGTCTTCTGTGCACAGACAAGAGAGGGCAGGGCTTTGAGGCTGACCTCAAGTGTGTGTGTTAGAGGCCTGGTATGTATAATCTGTAGCAATTTTGGTGTCCCTGCATTGCCTTATTGATCCACTGATCCTGGAGAGAGACTCTGTCCAGTTGTTTGAGGAATCCTACAGACCACAGAACAGTACTAAGGAAGGAGCCTGCAGTGGTGTCTGCAGGTTACTACCTGCGCACTCTGACTTGGTACCATGGGAGGGACACCCGGCCAAGAATGAAATGATCCCTCATTTTCTTAACTGTAGGTTAGGGGGAATGTTTTAAAAGCATGAGATCAGATAAAAATGACCTACTCACATAAAAATCTCCTTTCCCACGGAACTCATGGATGAACTATTGCTACTTCCTCTCTTTTCCCTCCTTCATTCATTCACTAGTAAGAATTGAGCCCTAAAGGGTGCCAGACATGGGGTAGATGTGAGCGTGAGAGGATCCAGACATTGCCTAAGTCAGGGGAGCTGGCCTTCAGTCTCCAGTGGAGAGGATTCCAGGAATCCCACCACGTGCCCCACAGGAGTTAGCCACCGTCCATCTACCACATCCAGAGCAGGGCCCAGCTCCACCTGCCCTGGCATGTGGAAGGGGAAGCAGGGAGTGGAGAGGAGGTGTTTTGGGAAAAGAACAGGGGACCTTTAGGGAGGCTTCCAGGCTGAAGGCAGGCCAAGCTGGGCCAGGAAGGAAATGTCTTACTGGACTGAACGGGAAACTTGGATAATGTATTGGACTGGCCATTCTGATTGAAGAAGATAGAATTCTGTACCTAAAAGTTCTCAAAGACATTGGTGCCTGCCCCAAAGCTCTGTGCAGGGTGGGGAAGGATAGCAGACAGAGCGGTTTAGCAGTGCCGCTGCTTGATGACTACATCCTTGTTTGTGGCACAGGAAGTACAGGTCATGTGGGCGAGCAGTTTCACAGACTGTATCAAAATGACTCAGCTGTTGGGTTTCTAACTCACTAGTCCTTTTACACTC